AATTCTTCTGCTCACAGACACTAACTGTCACATCTATAAAGTAAAACAGGTAATAGTTAATTGTATAAGACACACCTTACATTTTTTCATCCCTATAGGAGCATCATCAGAGCCTTACATGTTATGAGGAGCTTGTTAAATATACATTCATTTCTAGCATAAATATTTACACATTAGTCCCTTTAAAACTTAGATCGCACAGAATTTTTCTTACATATAAACTGCTGATGGACTGCATAATTTGTAGATATTCTGGCCTCTACTGGTGTTGCTTTTGTGCAGAATATCACTGATGTCTTATTATTGCTCCACTGTCTATTCATCCCCTGCTGTAATATCAGTCATGTTCTGCATGATCTGTATACAAAACGTGACACAAACAGAAGCCAGGATATCAAGAAATTATTCAGTCAGTCGGCAATTTATAGAACTCTCTACACTCTCAGTTACAAAGGGATTTAAATGTAAATATTTCTGCTAGAAATGAATGTATTATAAACAAACTCATTCTAACACATCAATCTCAGATGATGATCCTATAGAGCCAAAATACATAAGGCATATTCTTCACACAAGTTTGTGACCAATCCATTTTGTACTTGGTAGTTTTTATTATGCCCTTATCAACCTAAGAATATGCTGGCTGAAATGTCTCATATAAAATTCACATCTATAATTTTGGGAGTGAAAGAATACCCTCCCCTTGTGGTCTGAAGCCCAAGCTAAGCAGTGGGTACCTTATGATGACCATCACTCCCATGTTTGCTTAAACTTTGGGTCGATCAGAATTTGACCTGTGGATGTCCCACCACAGAAACTGATTTTGTGCTCTTGCCTATGTTGGCAGAGGGCAGACCATATCCTGAAGCACTAGAGAAACAAATACAAACTGGTATATCAATAAGCCATTATGAAAAATATTAAAAGTATCCAATATTAGACTGTCCAGAATTATCTTGTAAGATATATGGTATTGTAGCTTATGCTTTACTGTGTATCACATTATCTTCTTTGTCTACGCACGTGCGTATGAACACACACACACACACACAAATTCCTTCTCATTGTATGCAACATTTTCAAATATACGAACAGAATTCATTATTCAAAGTCTGTAGTGGTGCTATAGAAATTAATATTCTATATTGTCAACTGTAAGTTTAGTAAGAAAAAATGTATGGACTAGTTCATTAAATTACATGCTGTACTGTTACTATAAAATGATGAAGAAGACAGAAGTACACTTGGTCGTTGACTTATGACAGGCCGCACTTACGACCACAAAAAAAAAAAAATGGAAAATAAAAGATGATTAAATTGTAAAAGTTTTTAAAAATAAATTATAAAGATGATAAAAAGATCAGAAAGGTTAAAAAATACTGTTAATAAATATATGGCTGACATACGACCAGTCAGTCAGAATGGAAGTCGGTCGTAAGTCGACGACCAAGTGTACATGTAATTTTATACAATGGTCTAGAAGATATTTATCACTCGACACGATCCCAGCTCTGAATGCATGGCTGAGCAAATGCATGAACAGCTGGTAGAGACAAGCAAAAATGTATACATTTAGTATTTAATGAAGTACTACAAACTATGAGATCTGAGATCCTCATGGTGGTGAGAGTTAAGATAACTGTCTTCTAGGATTTGATGCTATATAGTTTGGTAGATAGGTACATTATTTGAATGAAGATGAAAAGAGAAGATACTGCCAGTGCAGGTAAATGTCAACCATTAACACAGTATAAAATCTTTAAAGACTGTATTAGTACTGAAATTTAATGACAGTCCTGCTCTTAAGAATTCACACTGTATGGAAGTAGGCTATGTTTGCCTATGTTTCGAGGAATATACTGACTCTATCTGCAGAGTCAAAGTGGGCAGAGTCAGTAAGTATTCATGTGCAATCCACCAGAACCATGAAGGTGGGTGTTAGGATCCAGTTTTGGCTAGCACACTGGAATTGTGACCAAAAGTGGTCCATATATAGACCACTGAGTGTATCAGAAACAGTTGAACACTCACTCATCCTGTATGCTTTAACCACAATATGGAGGCTGTATGTATGTATGTATGGAGCTTTGTCTGGCCCTTATAATGGTCACTTTGGTTACAATTTCCTGGTCACCATCCCTGTTGCCCCAGACCAGGCATAAGCCTCTCCTTCTTCCCATGGGTCTGTGGACTCTCATTCTACTCACTTCTACCCTGAAAATGGAGGAAGCCTGTTCTTCTGAAATAATGGTAACACAAGCCACTTCCACACAGTGCAAGAAATGGAGAGCAGAATAAAAATCAGAAATGAATTACCATAGAAAAATTGGTAGTTACTGCAAGTTAGTGTTTTAAGTTCTCTTCTCATTTCCACACACTAATAAGAAGTACTCATTTCAGAAATTAATATAGTCACTCTTTTCTATAATGTCAGACTATTAAGCAGACAACTGAAGGTCAACTGACTATTGTACCATGTATTCAGTCATAAAAATGAATTTGAAACTTAAACTATTCTAGTTTACATTCTGGTCATCACAAAATAGTCAGTGATTACGCATCTTCCGCTGATGATAGAGTATACATTTTGATATAGAAACAAATGGTTCAGGGGACAGTCCGGTGGAGGAATTTTGGGGTGAAGATGTTGAGACTTCAGTTTCCATTACAAGGAATTTCTTGAGTATTCATGTAACATCCAGTGCTTACACAGGACATTATACCAGTGATTTGGTTGGTCACATGTATAAGTGTGTCCAACAGATGTAAAAAAAAATTGTGTTGCACAGCTGTAACTTTTTTTCTCACTTTTCTTTTGCATAACTGACACTTGCAAAATCAAGGCTTCAGCAGCACACTAAACGAAAGACTGTAAATAAAACTGTGTCTTTAAATGTGCACAGAATTCTAACAGTGTCTGCATGTATTTAGTCTGAAATGATTAGAGATTCATATAATGAGCCAGGATAGCTCAGTCATTATAGTAATGAGCTATGGGCTCTAGGGACAGAGTTTGATTTCTCTCTTCTCCACAGCGTCCAGAACAGGTCTGAGACCCACCAAGCCTCCTATCCGATGGATACCAGGGCATCATTCCTTGAGGGTAAAGTGGCCGCTGCTTCAAGCTGACCACTCACTACCCCTGGGGGGGGCTAGAGTGGTTATAGTGTGAAGCTGACCACTCATTTCCATCTAGTGCTTACGTCGAGAACTGTGGAGCTATACTTCCACTCCTCCCATACATCTTCATGTAGTATTGGAGTGGTAATTAAACATAAGGGCAACTTTGCCTTTGCCTTTACCTTTATCCTTAAAAGTAAGTAAAGCTATCCCTGTAACAGGCCGTGGAGGCCCTTAGGCTTGTGAGATGTTGAGGTTCCCACATTTTCTAGACAATCGGCTCATAGATGGCGGTAAGGTTGAGCCTTACACACCAGCCGCCCTTTACCCCGAAGAACATTCTAAGAATATTCCTGGTACTCATTTCTGTTAGAGGCTGAGTCGACCCCAGGGCCATAGTGCAGCTGGAAGGATTAGGTAAATTGAAAAAAAAACATCCCATGACCCCATCGGGATTCGATCCCACGACCTTCCAGCTTGTAGCATAATGCCTCAACCAACTACCCTACCAACTGCCCCCATCCTACTACAGTGTACTTCACCAAACCCTTTTCTAGTTGTCTAAGCATTCTGTTCTGAGGCAGGTTGATAATGATAATTATGCGATAATCTTCAATAGCGACATACACTCTGGACTGGATGATATGCCAGAGAGGGCTGAAGGGAATACAACAGTAGGCAGATAGAAGAAGCTTAGGGCACCATCATCTACATCATCTGCGAGACTTATTTCATGGCATCAGCACAGTGTGTGCCATACAGTAAGACACACACCATAACAAACACAGAGATCTGCAATGTGACCATGAAAGTACTGAATTAACTTAAGGCACATTTTTTTCTTATTTAACATATGTGAGAGGAAAAATGAGGACGTGAAGTTCTCAAATTTTTGTGACTGCAAAGTTGGAATGAAAGTGATTTTATTAGCAGCAATGATGATGAGAAACTTCCTGAAAAGAATATATAAGCCTACTATGCAAATATGCATGTGACTGGTGTGAACTGCTGTGTGCTATACACCATTAGAATTTAGGAGTCAGACTTTGGGTGCATTCATTTCTGTAATTAAATACTGTTTGGAGTTTTACAAGTACAGTGGACCAAGATAAATAGCAGACAATGTGAAGTTAAGGACTAGTTCTCACAATTGTTATGAAATTATTATCTATTGGTAGTTAGTTCAATAAAGGCTAATAATATGGTTATTTTTTCTCATTCATTCCTTTGGCATAACTCAAGTTTTTATAATGATGACCATCTGCAAAATTAGAAAGGAATTTCCAAATTTAATGCACAGGTCTAACTGACAAAACAGATTTTACATTTGTTGGTGGACTAAATCCATGATTAAGAAGTGTGCTAGATCTATGTTGCCATTTTGAATTGTAACATATGGTAATGACATCTACATCATCATCATGTAGGTTTTCCAGAGTTGCAAACACCTTGGTTAGTTTCTGGTGTGTGAATCTCTCCATATCACATTTTCTTCCTGCCAATCTATCCCTACGTTTGCCACCACCAGATAGTGATTAGTATTACAATGTGCTCCCATGAAAGACTGGACATCGAGTACAATTGCACATTGAAAAAATGTATATATTAGCTTTGAAGCCCCACAAAATATATTAAAAAAAAAGAGAGAGAGAAGTTGCTACACTTTATGCCAAATTACATATTTACCCCCCCCCCCACTGTTGAAGATGCAGTAACATATTTAAGAAGCACAAATGGATTAGGCATTTGTCTTGTTCTGGTTACAAGGGTTAAGGTTGTTATGTCATTTTGGTGTACATCCCTAGCATCTTCTTCCCTTCAGTTCACATTGATTGAACAGCTTTAGAATTCAGTTTTCAGGCAGTATTTCCACATGTATATTTTATGTTGACTAGTTCCATTGTTGGAGCATTTGTTGAAGATATTTGACTTGTTCTGTGTCCAGTGGTGTTGGCCTGTAATTGGATTTGCTTGTATGCAATAAATACTATACTATACTATACTATCTATTTCATTTGATTGGTTCTTTTTGAATTATGGTGTGGATATCAACAGGCCAGAAACCCTTTCAATTATTTGGTACTCAGGGTCAGTTTGCTGGAGGGACCTTTCCTACAGCTTGCAGAACTGGAGCCTAAAGTTTCTGCTAGCCACACAATGGAATATTACATGACAGAGAGAGAGACATTTCATTCACAATGATTGTCCTACTGAGAGAAAATGTACACTGCATGGTTTACATCAAACATGGAAAAATACAAGATTTCACTGCCTATAATGTGATGTTGGCCTATCAAAGAAAAGTTTCCTTCTAGGAAATACTAACATTTTTTAATACAATACCATGATTCTTTTAAAATTTGTTATTTATAATTAAATTTTGCATTCTCGGCCCAACAGAGTGCTTATTTATTGCATTCAAATTCCACACTTTTTTGACTCCATAGCAATTTTAACGAATTATTGCATTTATGGGGTGTAACTAATTTCATGCCCCCTATGCAGTACTTATAATATAATTCGACATTTGTTAATTTTTCTTTTAAATTATACATTTCTTTACTTTTTTACAGCAGACTTAAACTGCAATAATAATCTTGATTAAAATGTGTACATATAAGAAATAATTGAACAGACCTGCACAAAAATGGCAGTCATGCAAATTACAGAACAATTATTCATTACAATTAAGATGTCAAAATATTTTCTCCAAAAGCATATTTGTATACATTATAATATCCATTATTTAAAGGGTACAAAAATGGAAATGTTATGAGAACATAAACAATAAAGTTTACAGTACTGCAGATTCATCATAAAGATTAGTGTCAGGAAGATTTTATTATTTGATTGGACAAAATTTTGCTGATCATCACAGTTAAATCATCACATGCATGTTCTTAATTATAAATTCTACTAGGCTGAAAATTATGAAGAAGAAAAAATTACATAAAAATAAAAAAAGAGTGAATGTCAGGCACTGACATATCTTGGTTGTTTCCCTGGAATCATATTTTTAGAAACCATATTATGTATAGTTTAGTCCATACATGCAAAGAACCATATCTTTACATATTTTAAAAATAGTATTACTTTCAACTTCCTGTGTGAAATTTATCACTGTAATGGCTTCTGCAACTCTAATATGAGGCTACATCAGTGATAAAATTATTTTTTTTCTTGATCTCAGAGCTTGAAGTATGATACAATAAAAATTTACCATCATTTTCCAGCAAAATTAGTATATTCTGTATTGAAAAGGAAGTGGTGTTTTGAAACCTAGAATTATTTTTGTGTATACTTAAAAGAAACAAGCAATTTCTGCCATATTTAATCCTACAACTTATTTTGCAAAAAGTACTGTTTCTATATGCTTAGCTGTGAAGTAGCTATTCAGCAATGGAAATATATTACAATTCAACATATAAAGAAAAATGTTTTGTTATTAAACAGTGAGTATACAAAGGCTAATGAAAATTAGAAACAAACAAGTAGATTCCATGTACATTGAGTCACTTGGTGTGGATGTAAATCTGCCCACTGTATGGAATATTTTATTTCCTTACCTTGTGTGTAGTCACCGGTGCTATGAACCAGCTCTAATTAGAGCCTCCTCCATTAAAAGTTTAACATTCATCACATTGTACTGATGTGAATATTTGCAGTATACATAAAGTTAAAAAAAATTGTATTTTTCAAGTTTAAATTTTTCTTTGATAGCTATATAGTATACCCCTAATTATCCATGCTAAAGAATGGAAAAACAGACATGAAAAAAAGAAAACCCAAGTTTAGGGTGTGACTGGGAACCACGATGTCTGTTGAATATAGAGATTTTGAGCATGTGTAGAACATCTTATTCGTTCCATTACCTTGAAAGCTGTAAGACTTCCAGAAGAACAAAACCAAACATAAAACATGTATTTCATTTTCCTTTACAAATTTATTCAAAATATTTTCTGCTGTGATAATTATTGAGCAGAAAAGCATGTAGGTCTTCACATAAAGTGGCCATTAGAACTGTTCAATCTAAATAAAAATTGATATGGCTTGATAATTCTTAGAAAAACAACCAATATAAAATTTAACGACAATCTCTCCTGTGTTTCTTAAGTTGTTTCATATGTACAAACAGCTGGAGGTACAGGTACGCCACATAAGTGTGAATGTGCACAAAAAGGAGCACAGATGGGCCAGTAGCTGGATAATCCATGTACAGATGATTGAGAGTATAGTGTAAACAGTAATTCTTTACGCCTCATGTCAAAGTATGGAGTGTAGCCATCTGGATATTTCTACATGGCTAATATCACATTTTGTTTAGAAGATAGGTACACTTCGAAAAGTGTTTCAAACTATGTTTTCCCTTGCCGTAGAAGTGTCCAGCTGCAGTTACTGTGAATACAAAATCAATATGGTTTCTTCATATGTGATGTCCCTAAATAAACCAAAAATATTATGAGATATGATGATTTCACAACAGTAAAAATTTAGACTGACATCTCCTCTGTGTTGTGTTAAATTTATAACAAGATGGTTGATGATCACTTTCATGAACAGCCGATGATAAACAAGTAACACAACAACCATAAGCAATCAGCTATTCATAGTTGTCGGGTTTTGTATGTATTAATGCACCTCATTACATTTACACAATATTCACCCCAAAAACACATTCACATCTTTAAAATTAAGATTTATACAACTTTCTATATAAGATAAATATTAAGACTGAACACAATGTCATCAGTTTGCAACTTCCGACAGTAGGAGAATTGTCTTTGAAATGCACAGGTTCACTTAAGCAAATGAGCCTGACAGTATCGACGTGGGAACACCGCTTCTGACGGAGGACTCCAGTCTGGACCTGGACCAGGGTATGTGGAGTCAATCATAGATTTTTGCAACCGAGAGACTGGCGGGTGATATGGACGGTTCAAGTCTCCTTGATTTCCACCATCATCCAACTGATTTGATGATTCTGTACGACTTGACGTTCCTGGCTCTGTATCAGATTCGGAACCAAAACTGTCATATTCGTCACCAGGCCGAGGTTTTTTCACCCGGCAATAGTCACTTTTCCCAATGGACTAAAAAAGAAATGAAATTAAATTACTTCTAACTATTAGCAGTTACTAAAGTTAACAGTAATGTTCTCTTAAAAAAAGACATAACTGAAGGAAAGACCAGCGGATAATCCTCTCTAGAAGTTAGATCATGTTGAAATGCAGCCACACAGCTTGGCAGTACTAACAATTACACTCTCTTGGCCTCTTTTCCACAGCAAGACGTGCAAAAGCACAGTTTTGCATCTACAGTTGAGTGGCCAATTTATCCTTGGCCGGGCACATATGAAACTAGCTGAATCTAGGAAAAACATTACAGCTATTATTGAACTGAGGTGGGGAGATATCTGCATTACATTGCTCTAGCTTTAGTGGTGTGACAGTGCGGTGTCAGTCAGATCAGAACGTTTATAAGTGGAAAGTATAGCGAGTTAAACAATCTCATGGATCTCAATAATGTTCAGTGACATTATTAATACAGCATGCCAGTAAAAATGTATTTGTCAGGACAGGTATAATGTCCATGTTGTTACATGGGATTTAAATTATAAAAGGCCACTGAACATTATGTTCCAAATAATTACAAAAAGTGAGCAAGTGCATCTGTTATTTTTTTAGAGTAACTATATATGACAAATTTTATTCAGCATATCTGAAATAATCACAATAGTCTTTCAACAGGACACGAGGTTCAGAACATATTAAATTCTAGGTGGCGCATACAACTAGAGTGCTTTGATTAGGAAAGTATGCTCTACAAAAATTTAAAGTGCAACGGTCAAGACAGGATCATCTAATGCAGAATACACAATATTGCCCAGTATACTTCTCATTTGGGTACTAAAAGGGCCTTGGGTAAGTGATATTGTGCAAGAAATATGCTGAAGAGGTCCTTACAAAGTCTGTAATGATGACACTAATAAAATCACAGTATTATATTCTGCTCATATCTACAACCATATACTCAGTATAAATGAACTACAGGCTTCAACTATAATTGGATATTCTCAGTTTGTGAAACATTATAGTACATGAGTGAAAATAAAAATAAAATGAAGTAAGACTGTGTGGCATTTTCAAAATATAAAGATGTCACTACCAATACAGTGGCTCGTTACTGACTCTGACCCTTACTTTATTCTAATTTTAAATTCAACAATTTTATCATGAAATTTAAATTATAATCTTAACCCTGTTATGAGACTTCTTACTTAGTACCTAAAAGTTTGTGGAATGAACTTACAATATTGAGAACAGGAATAAAAAACATAGAAAATAATAATATGGATCATTAAAAATAAAGTAAAAACACAAAGCTAAGAAATGAACAAATAAATGAATTTCACATATATCAATGACTGTAAAACAAACTGAAACTTGTGGTACAATTAGCCATATTTGTAACTTTCAGTATAACTGTTTCAAACTAAAACAGAAACAAATTTATATTAATAGACAGAAATTAATGAAACACTGTCAAAATTACAAACCTGTTCTGCATACGCTATGTAAGAAAATGAAAAGAGACAATAAGTTTAATCATCTTGCATATTTCACAAGTGAACAGACTAAAGAGTATATTCTAACGGGTTCTGATGATGGTTTATAGCACTCAGAATTACTGGGTATTCTAGAAAATAGTGGACACAAGGTTTTGGAAACTGGATCTATTTTGGTCCTCAGGTGAGAGGGGAGACACCTACTCTGTGGGGTCTCTTAGTAAGACCTAACTTAGGTCACTGGACAGCCCAAGCCAGTGTAATGTATAGGGAATCGATATAACATTAGGATGATAATCAAAACTAAACACACCCTTAGGAGTTCACTCATGAAAGCCAGGCCAGAATGAGATCCACAACAGATGGCACTTTTCATCTATAGCATTCCCTGTGAATGTGCCAGAAGCTACATTGGGGAAATATGCAGACATCTAGCTGTGGGGCTCCATGAACATAGGTACAATCCCAAAGAGGGTCTACTAGAACAATCAAAATTAGTCAATCTTGCCTGTGAAGAGGCTCACAGTTTGGGCTGGGACAAAGCTAGGATTTTAGAAATTGAATTAAAATGAAGTAATACTGTGTGGCATTTTCAAGGACAAGGATTCCGCCCATATGGCATGCTTAACCAAACCTGTCAGCCAAGCCAGTTTGGATACTTCTACCAACTGGATCCCCCTTATCAGCAATGAGATTACCAATTCGCACAGATCAGTATGATGTGACAGATTCTTCATTGGTTTATATAAAATTTTAGTCCTGAGTGTTCAGTTTTACTCCACAGAAGGCATAAAATGGTTCCAGAAATTTTTCAATTAATACTATACATTGGTTTTCATGGACTTGGTTTGATGGCTATGTTTATTTCATGTAGGTGTCCTCCTCATCTGAAGACGGAAATAAATCCAGTTTCTTGAATGTGTTTTCTAGTTTTTAGAATACCAGTTGACGAAAAAAGTTGAAAAACCCAGTAGTTGTAATTACCAGCCTGACCAAAGTTTCACTGACTTCAGGTCTACCTTTCAACAAGTCTCACTTTAATAAGCAGATTATGTAATACAAGGTATTATTCGTAATAATAAGGATTAAATAATGTTAGTACCTTCCTTGTTGGAGAAGCATCATTGTCTCTATAGACAAATGTCTGCAATTTTGTTGTCTCAGAGCTAGGTGGTCCTGGGACATGGAATGTAGCGTAAGGCCGAATATCCTCTGAATATTCTAGATAAAAATTGGATTATTTCCTATAATTGCTCAAAAGAACAAGTGAAGGGTCCAATGCAAAAAACAAGCATGGCGGCTCTGCTGTAACACACCTTTGAAAAACTGCTAGAAATAAGGGTAAGATTTGAGGCTTTCATGCTTAAGCACTCAATTAAAACAACGTTATGGCATTGCTCTATTTTCATTTAACAGTGTAACCAATCATTTATACATGACATTCTATTTCACCAGTACACTAGGCTGGTTGTGTGTGTGCGTGCATGCGTATGCGTGCACGTGATAACACCAAATTTCAGCCAGAAAGGGAAAGACTTCATTTTTGCATTAGACCCATTAATTATTTTATCTTAAATAATAGTTTGTGTGATTCTGTTTATTTTTAATTGCATATAAAGTTTTAAATCACATTATGTGTTACATGAAATTGTGTGGGAGGTTCAGACTGGATTCAGCTGGGCGAGGATAGGGATCACTGGGAGGGTCTTGTGAACAATGTAATAAACTTTCACGTTGCATAAAACATGGGGAACTTATTGAATATTGCGTGACTATTGGTTTCTCTAGGACTCTGCTCCAGGGCTTTATTTACTTTTATTATGTACTACCTGAAAGAGAAAGAAAATAAATAATGTAGATATGCCATCCAAAACTTAGTTCCTGTCCTGTAAAATAATTTTTATCAGCATTAATACAGGGACTATGAAAATTTCAAAGCAGTTGCCTTAGAGAAAACTGTAAAAGTAAGTAAAAAGTAAAGGCACCCCTGTAAGAGGCCATGTAGGCCCATAGGGTTGTGAGACGTTGAGGGTCTCACATTTTCTAGACAATAGGCTCAAAGATGACGGTAAGATTGTTAGCCTTATGTGCCAGCCACCCTTCACCCCCAAGAATATTCCTGGTACTCATTTCTGTTAGAGGATGAATCGACCACAGGGCCTTAAGTGCGGCTGGAAGGATTAGGTCACTTGAAAAAATTCAATGACCTCACTGGGACTTGAACCTGTGACCTTCCGGCTTGTAGCATAGTGCCTCAACCAGCTAAGCTATTGCGTGCCCCAGAGAAAACTGTATCATAATAAAATACAGTCATGAAATATTATTGATATAAACTGAAACTTATTTACTGTAGGCAAGAACTGTACCTGGGATGCACTCCAGAGTTGCTGGAGATGGTGGTAATTTGCGTACAGTGGCATAATATTGCTCCCTGCGAGCTAAGTTGTGTTTGTTGTCCTGTGCGGCATTGGTCTGGACATCCTGAAGGCTAGGACTTGGAGAAGGCCTGCTTGAGTTTGCCTCTGAAATGGACCAAATAGAAACATTCATACAGGAGCTTCATTGCCTCACATACATTGAAAGCATAGGTTAACAGATCTTCCAAAAAAGCTATATGAGTTATATTTCAACATTTTATTAAACATGTTATTTATGTAAGATTTGAAGTTTTCATGGCAGTGACTATGGAGAAAGCAGTCTTCTGGGATGTGGTGCCATGTAGATATTGTGTTAACAGACGTTTCGGAGGAATGTATCGCCTCAATCTTCAGGGTAGATGAAAAAATAAAGAAAATCCCATATAGCCCCTCTCCCTCTCTTCCTGCTCATATACAGCTGGGTTTATTATTGACATTAGTCTGTCAGTTACTGAATATATATAGAAGAATTGGCACTATTTTTAAAGCTTCTAGAAATATTCCATCATATTCTTTTCCTTTTAATATAATGTATCAGATACCAAAGGAAAACATGGTTCAGTATATATTGTCATGTGTAGAGTGACTACAGATGGAGTTTTGGATTGATGACCACATTTATTGCATTCTTTGATACATCATGTAATAACACTTTACGGTTCACAGTCACACAGACTAGTGTTCTCCGTCATGGTCTTCACTGCACTGCTTGGTAGCAGCTTCTGATGGAAGATGTTCCCCTTCCTCTGGATTCCCAAATGGTCTCTGGCCTCAGCTACCAGCTTGTAACAGCAACAGCTCATAACAACTGAACCCCAGCAGTTCTCTGACTGACTCATTAACTCACCAACTCAACTCACTAACAGACTGAACCAGCTAGCTGGCCCTGCTTATAATATCTTGGCATATACTTCATAGAAAACAGTGTTTGTACGTTGCAGTGAAATTTTTGCTGTGGAAATATGCTTGTTGAGGAGCTGTTACTTAGCAGCGGCTGTTGTATAGTTGCTTATATTGTGGTCGTTACCTAGCAATGTGTCTACATGCCACAATATATTTCACTGAGTTATTCAACAATGAAGAAAGAATAAAGAAATAATACACATTTATAATATGAAGTCTCATCTATACACAGGAATTCCCATCTATGTACCTCAAAAGAACTTGTAAGGATTGTTATTTTATTTTAGACAAAGTTGAGAATGCCTTTGGAATTCACTGACGAATCTTAGGAATTGCATAGATATAACTTTTTGGTGAGATATTCAATATTTATTCAGAATCTTACTAAGTGTTTTATTTTATATTATTATTTATGTTTATTTATTAATGTAAGTGATTTTAATTATGTAACTCATGTAATTTAGTATATGTATCTGGACACATCTATTCTCAAAGGGACTATTTCCACATCCTAGGTTTGTTACCTGTATGGATATATGGAAATGAATGAAAGAAACCGAAATCTCATAATCTTTTACTCAGCTATTAACTCACTTCTTTTTAAGCAGAAACATAGACCTAGCAAACTCAGGCACAATGCTACAGCCGAGCATACTGCTAGGACTACTACTTTCACATCTTTATGAAGGGGCGCTCTCTGTTCTGTCTCAGTCTCCATCATCACAAGGCTTGGACTAACAGTTCCTGCAACATTAACAACAATTTAATAAAAATCTTTGACATGTCTTTTATAAATCATATAATGGCAGCATTAATCTTGCAGGTTATGCAAGTAATAATTTGAAAATTGCAGAAACTTTGAGCAGTTTTACAGCTAAATGAATGAGCTCTTCAGAAACTGATTCCTTGAGATGATTTGCAAAGATATTCTCTTACAGTTAGGTTCACACATGCCACATTTCTTTGAGAAATTCTTGTTTTAGTGCCTGCTTTATATGACATTTCTTCTAACACAAATCGACAGCTGTTGCCACATTTGTGGAAGGCATGAACAAACGTTTTTCATCTTTGTATAGTCAACATCTCAATGTAATTATAATGAAACATGCTTTTTCTAAAGGTATTCTTAAGATACCTTATCACAAAAACATAAACATAATAGCAGACTGACAAACAACCGGACGTGACCGACATTCTGTCACAAGTTATCTTCATTGCTCACACAGCAGCATAGAGCTATGGATGAAGTATCAGTACTTGTTTAGCTGAACACTTATTTAACGAGTCTTTCAGTTTTGTGTCTAGAAATTTCCAGGGATTATTCAATCCCATCCTTCTCACTTCAAATCTCAGACCTTACTCATGGAGCTGAGCCCTTCTTGAGGAGCCGCCAATTCTGCAGCTACTCAAGAATTTCTCAGCATTTTATGGAACCCGAAGGTTCATTACCGTGTTCTCAAGAGCCCTCCACTGGTCCCTATCCTGAGCCAGATCAATCCAATCCATACCATCCCATTCTATCTCTCTAAGATCCATTTTAATATTGTCCATCCACCTACACCTTGGTCTTCCCAGTGGTCTCTTTCCTTTTGGCTTTCCCACCAATATGCATTCCTCTTCTCCCCCATTCATGCTACATGCCTTGTCCACCTCATCCTCAATCTCAGACCTACAAGCTATAAATTAAATTGTATAAACATTAAATAAAGGTCACTTTGGTATAGGAAATTATTATACTCTCACCTTCCATTGTCTTACACATCAACTACTAGAAGAGAGGTTAAGGAACATAACAACAAAAGTGTAATACTCAGTGTGTGATCATACTGTGGCTGTAAATGCGTTAAGGAGATGGAGGAATGCTTGTGACAGTGGACCTCTATGTGGAAATTACAATGTCAGAAGTCTTAAATGAGGACAGCAAAGGGTTTATGAATGAATGGTTTCATGTACCGAAACGGTTTCTCCTTGGCACATCCGCTGACATTCAAGTCAACTTAATATATATATTAGTTTCTTACACACTGTAAGACCATTTTAAAAAATGTTCCAGGCATTTTTTACATATCTACATGGACATCTCTCCCTTGAGCCTCATTCTGACGGAATGGTTTGCCCACACCTGATTTCAAACAATCACTGATATACGAATTCTGAAAGAAAGGAACTGGAGTGATATCAAAGGCACCGCTACAGTCTGTACGAAATTGCTTCATATTACTTGGTGGGCATTAAATAATCAGGGTTGAAGATAAGTTTCACATGAATATCTTTTTACATTTTTAGACTCACCTCCAACAGCTGTGAGAGTTGTAAATCGGTAATTGGCAACACTAGATCCAGCAGCATTGTGTGCAGTTACACGCAGCTTATACTGTGAGCCTGGATGGAGATCAGTTATGCTGAATACTTTTCCTGGGACAATATTTCTTCCCACTGCAAAAAAAAAAAAGTATAAGATTTTTTTTCATAAAGTGCATGGAATTTTAACATAGAGGTAAGATAAAAGACAAAGTTATCACTTTGCTTAATTAAGCGATTCACTATTTAGACATATGAGGTAATATCAGCTGAAAACCATTCATACAATATCGGTCCTATGCAGATATTTTTATACGTGCAAATAACAAATGCCTGCTCTCTGAAATTTTAGATGGCAACACTAGTGAGCTTCAGTTAAATTACAGTCAACATTGATTATCAGTTGTTACTGATTTATGTTGAGAGTCAAACATCACACTCTACTGCGATCAAATAAGAATTGTACAAAGTTCATGCATATTTTTAAGAAATTAATGCACACCTCATACCCACACTTGCATCCAGCCGGAATTGAGCTCAAGAGTGGATAGAGTGAATTTCAGTTTTTCCAAATGCACTGGAAGAATGTGTGGAGATATTCCCCATGCCAATCACATACTCATATATTTACTGGTGTCAATAAATCTTTCTAAAAATAATTTGTATCCATTTCACAAATATAGGTAAATTAGGTAGTCACACATTTGGATAAATCAAGTGTTTTAATGAACTACTTGTTACAATTTTCACTACTTCCTACTTACCAACAACCCAATCCTTTGCTTGTCCTGAAGAGCCCAATCCTCGGTGACCCATATACTCCACAACATAGTATAGCATTGGACAGCCAGAATCAGGCCAAGCATCTAGACGGAGCATCGCTGCAGTTGAATTTACAATAAGCAGATCACCTGGTGGAGGAATTGCAGGAATTCCACCACGAGTACGTACAGCTAAGGTTGGACTAGGCGCTCCACTTCCTACATCATTGTAGGAAGTGATAAAAACGTGGTAAGCGGTGCCACAACGGAGGTTACTGAGAGTGAACGTATTGCGAGTGCCGTCAACATGCGTCTCTTCCCACTCCCCGTGCTCCAGCTTATAATGAATCACAAAACCTCGGACTGGACTGCCACCATCGTCACCCAACTTCCACTGTAGCTGCAGTGAGTGTTGTGAACTTCCTGTCACAAGCAGCAATGGAGCAGCTGGAGAAACTGAAAACAAATGCTATATTTTAATGACATCATCAGGGAAAAATGAATGGGTCTTTTATTTGCCGTACAACACCAATTTTCCCATTAGTGAAAAGTTGGGTGAATTCATAAGCGCTGATTACAAAAATATTATTGAAGTGTTCCATTATCCACCTTTTCCATGTGAGGGAAAATTATATATGTGATTTTTTTGATATGAAAATGTGTAACATCTCACAAAGATTTTTTTTGAAGACTGGAAAGCTTCTAGCAGCTTTTAGTTAATATACCACCATGTCATTCAACGGCTGGTTGGAAGATTATCATGTCATGTTCTTATTGGTTGAAGAACTGCAATGTCTGCATAGTTCTAGTACTCTCCCTCAGAAATATTGTTTAATATAATATTTCAAGCTTGGACTAATACAGAGCATATTCAAATTTACAAGAGCCATCATTCCTTTTAATGGAAAGGTAAAGGTGTTTGTCTTGTGGAAAAGTGATACCACATAGCTGTGATTGATAATTTCACCCACTATATTTGGTAGTTTTAATGGTATACAAGTGTCTTTTGTCATTTTTAATTTGTTTGTAATTTTGTTGACTTGATTGTTTCTTTGCAATTAAATCTTTTTATGAGGACTTCTATNAACATGATTCAGGGGGAAATTAATTGGAGACTGAATTTGGGTAATGCTTGCTACAATTCAGTCCAGAAACTTCTGTCCTCTTGTCTGCTGTCATTGATGCATGTGCAGAGATTTGATAATGGTCACTTATATATCCTGCTGCATCACAGATGCATGTGTGTATGTGATCTGAATTTCTTAATAAAATCTCTAAAAATCAGTTGGGGCTGAATTTGTTATTTTGCATGTTACGTTTTAAAAGATGAACACTCATTTCAAATTTCTAGAAGGGATAATTTGTGGTCCATACTGCATATTTTGTGGTCATGTTTTATAATTTTCACAAGCATAAAATTCTGTAATCCAGTTGCCTGTAAGAGAGTGTAACACTGTGTAAATCGAAAATTCATGTTGCATAATTGAGTTACATGAATAATGAAACCAAGTTACTGAAGAATTTCATGATATTTCTATTATTCTATGAGGCTCTAGTGTTACAGTCCAGACGTTTCGGTACTTTAAATTTTGCAGGAATTCTGATATTTGCAAAAAAAAAATAAAATAAAATAAAATAAAATGTGGATCTGCAGAGAACTTCCAGCATGTTAATGTAAGGAGAGAAGACTTATAACATACAAAGAATAGTAAAGTGTCTGAAATGTATCCAGCCATGTTTTCACATCTACCAGTCTATAGTTTAAGTGCAAAGATACCTGGAATTTAGAGATATGTGTTATTTTACCATTACAAAAGAATATTCAAACAAATATACAGTATAATAATGTAATAAATGGTGTCTTTTACTCAGCTGTGCTACAGCTCAGGCATTGGTCTCTCAGGCTTCTGGGGTAGTCCATATGGAATTCGTGGTGGAAAAAGTGGCACTGTGGAGGTTGTTTTCTCAAAACTTTGTTTTCCTCTGCCACTTTTGATTCCACCAACGTTTCATATTTATATATTATCTAGGGCTGAAAAAATAGGCCCATTTGAGGCCACACTCTTTAGGGACTCAGTGTCATGCCACTTCCTTAAGCAGAGACTCGACTACTAGAGCTGGTGCTAATTTGGATTTTTTAACTAAAATTTTTCAAATTCCATTCTTTCATTACAACTTGCCTTGTACTAATAGATGGTATATAATGTGGTCACGCCCATGTTCATTGGATACAACACAAGTATAGTCCCCTTGGTCACTCCGTTGAGCAGAACTAAGTAAAAGTGCCCCATCAGTTGCTATTGCTAAACGGGCCTGACGGCTAGGATGGAGACGGTTGAATGGAGTGTCAGTGACAAGCCACTGTCGCTGTGGCTCTGGAACGCCTACTGCTCGACACTCCAGTCGCACATCACTTCTCCAAGACACACGACGTAACCCACCAAATGATGCAATGCCTGCTGAAACTGTGAAATGTGCTGTCAAATAAAATGGTACTGCTTACCTCCACAATATTTGTCATAACATCCATATGTATATATAAATACGAGTATGTAATATCATCAGGTGATGACCTGGAACCTCTGATTGCTGAAGAATATTACTGTAACATATACTTGTACATACCTTTTTCTGATGGTCTCAGCCTTGCAACTGGAGTACTAGTTCCTTCTCCAACTCTAGTAGATGCAGTTATCCAGAATTCGTAAATCTGGCTCCGCTTCAGACCTGGCAGTTGATACTGGAGCTGTGATGTTGAATAGTGTGGGACTGTTCGAGAATCCATCTGAAGTGTGCCTTCCAAGACCCGTACATACACATTGTACTGGACTATTACACCATTGGGATTTGAGGGGGGCAGCCATGTGAGAAGTGCTGTGTCTGAGGTCTCAAGAAGCACTTTGATCCCTCCAGGGGCACCAGGCACTGCATCCAACATCCATGCAATCAGACACAGCTGCAGGTATGAGGAATATGTTGTGACAGCAAGAGAGGATGTGTAGAACAGTCATAATTTTTAGGTGTACAATCCTTCCTTGTTCTCTGCCAGCCAGCTTTCATAAAGGGGAGAATCTAACAGTATGAAGATTTTGACCTCCTGGAATGTGACATCATGTGGCTTGGTAAAAGTGTATCAGAGTTTAGGAGGCATGTGCTGCATCTGTGCTGGAAATGGAGACAGCATTTTCCTCTCAAACGTTTAGTCCTAAGTACTAAATTACATGATGTCAGATTTCAGAAGAACATAATATTTATATTTACTGCAGTGGGAATCTTACAGCCAAGAGTATAATCAATCCTTCAGTGTAGATTATTATTAATATTCTATTCCAATTGATTTATGTACATTCTAGCGATTTCAGTTTACTAAAGGCTTAGCCTACTGCACTGACAATGTACATGTAGCAGAGAGCACTGTGATGCTTTCTTCTCAATTTATTTACACACTAGGCATCAAAGAAAATAACAATTTATTTAAAATTACAGTATAATACATATAATATGCGATGTAACAACATACAGGAAGGTCACTGTTGTTATATATTTTGATGTGCCACCAGAAAGCTGGAATGCTTGAAGAGATCAGAGTTGATTTCCTACGCAACAACCAGCTATCCTGCTGCAATGCCTTGGAATCGGAACGCTAGCAAACCTAAGCAACAAATTGTTTGAGGTAGCTGCATGACAATGGCTAGGAATACTCATAGCAATGAGAGTATATGCTACCTAACTAGTGAAGTTACTGCTACAACAAAACAAAGCACTAGCTACCAGAGAGAGAACATGTGAAACGCAACCTTTGAAGAAGGTTTCTCAGAGTCCATCCAACAGTAGGGTATAAAGGAAGACCAGGTCGGAATTGAGACCAGATTACAATGAGATACGAAGTTTATGAGATTACAGAGACACGAAGAAAACTTGAAGAAGATCAGCGGTGCAAGTAACTGTGATAGTGAAGTTGTGAATAATTGTAATTGTCAGTGTATAACAGATTGTCCAATAAACATCTTAGCCAAAACCGAAGACCCGCGTGAATTTACTTGTCACGTTACATAGGCAGCATACGACAATTTCATTTCTTCATTTCAATATACAAGTACCTTAACTGTTAACTATGTGAAGTATTGGTTATATCTGTCAGTTGCTTGTCAGAAAATGTTAATAGCGAAGCAGAGTTACGACAGTGTAGCGACTGTGTGCGGCAAGAATTTCCTATAAATCTTTGGCTTAAGGTCCATATTTATACCACACATAGGAAATGATAGTTACCCCACTCAATTTTCACATTTCAGAAATACGGTGGAAACTGATGTCAGGTTTAATGAATAATTTATTCTCCATTAAACAGAGAAACTGTGTATGCAGGTGCCTCTGAATTTCCTTGCTTCCACATAACATTATCCATGGCAGTGAAATGAGCAGAAACACAGTAAAGATAAACAGAGCGAGTCTTAATTACATACCTTAAATATAAGTATTGCGTTCTACACTTACAGGCGAGCAGAAATAGTCACATAAATAGTTACTATAGGATTCTGACGATGGTGTATAACTCATTGATATATTGGGTTTTCGGACTTTATCCATCGTCCTGGTTTTTAAGATAACTAAGAAAAACACGACGTTTCGGAAACTGGATCTGTTTCCATCCTCAGGTGAAGGAAAACACCTATTCTGTTGGGTCCGTTAGAAAGAGCTTCACCTGAGGATGGAAACAGATCCAGTTTCCGAAACGTCGTGTTTTTCTTAGTTATCTTAAAAACCAGGACGATGGATAAAGTCCGAAAACCCAATATATCAATGAGTTATACACCATCGTCAGAATCCTATAGTANAATGTATGGTCAGAACTGCTACATTGGTGGCATATGGAAACAGGAAGAATGAGGGAAAACAGTAGAAAAATAACATTCCACTGTGTTCATGCATGATAAATGACAGGTTTCCCTACAGTTGATAACACTTACCATCTTCCTTTGTTCGACAGAAGTTTCGACGTGACTTCACTCCATCACCAACTCTTGTAAATGCCAATAGTTCTACGCTATAGTTTGTAAATTTGAGGAGGTCATGAAGAACAGTTGTCAATGCTGTTGTCATCTTTGTTTGGGGACCCAACATATCTGAATTATAAGAAAATTATTACTGCAATTGTTATCATTGTATTCATCATCTTCCTCATTTATTATATAACAGAAGCCTTCACCACTGTTACCAATCCAAATTATCTTTACTCTTACAGAATAATTATCATCAGAATTACCATAATCATCATCCACATCATTATCGCTGTTACGGCAACTATCACAAACCTCAACTCCAGATGAAATTAGGAAGAGTAATACCCTTCGCCTATTGTTTTATCTAATGGTCAACTGAACCACTATTACTTGTGACACCTTGAAATAATTTCAGTTTCCTAGTGCAGATTTCTGCATCACTAATACAAATTATATGTAGCCAATACATGCACAAACTCTTTTAGAGCTCAGTGACAATAAACATATCTTCTGCAACTTACGTGATCCTGTAAGAATGAACAGAATAATATATAAAAATTGTTAAAAATTTTCCATAGTTTAATAGTTACAAGTCACAAGGACACAGAGGTAAACTTACACTGCATTTTTTACCTTAGAAACATATGGAAATAGCTCTGTCTTCTGAATAATAAGGTGGGGGGACCTCACAGCTCTTCTGGTGATGAAAAACATTCAGTGTTGGTGCTAGAAATGGGTTAGGGTCATCCTGTTTTCAACAAGTTATTTTGATAACTGTTCCTTATATTACAAGAAAATCAAATGCTAAATGAATAAATTAAACACACCATGTTGATCTGATGTAATCACAGGCATAGGAACTGGCTCATACAGGAGTCTGTAACCTTGGATTACGCCATGAACAAGAGACTCGGGAGGAGGCTGCCAGCTGACTTGGAGCTTGTCAGATGACAAAGCTGTGCAGCGAACATCCCGTGGTGATGCTTCGGGAACTGAAAGAACATGTCTCACTTTTATGTTCCTTCCATCTCTCAATAATTACTGTTTCCTGTATTTAGGAGAATATATTTTTTGGAAATAAATTTCTATGCATTTTGAATTGACTGCTATTTTAATCACCCTTATATATTAAAGGCTAATGTTTGAAATTCTGTTATTCTATCTGTTAGTAGAAATATATATTAGTAATGAATAAAAGAATAATATGACAGCAATAAATGACAGTGAAAATTATGCTTGAGTGTGGAGTTGCAGTGTCTATGTTTGTTGAAAAATGTTCAAACTGCATCAACAGGGAACAGTACAACATAGAGCATATTTTTATTCTGTCAAAGTTAGTATCTTAGTATAACTGTAATTATGTTTCCAGTACAGCAATACCTCGCATATTCTGGCTTTGATCAGGCCGGTTTGAAAATTTCGAAACAAACTACATTTTAATTGAGCAAAATAAAAATAAATTCTAAAACATTACTATATAAAATTATTTTTAACACATAAATGATCGTCTTTTTTCCTTTTATACAGTTAAGTCTCTTTTTGTGCAGTTAATTTTTATGCGGTTTTAAAGTTATGCGATACGATACATATTTCAATTTTTTCTGGGGTTTCCCGTCGTATATGTATGTACCTATGCTCAGGTTGTTCGTTCTTGAGCTCTGACAGCTATTGCTGGAGGAGGTGGGGAGAGCACTACTTTAATGGAATTTGGAAGTGCTACAACATCAGAAACGTTATCGAAAATATAGGCAAAGCATGGCATGAATTAACGGCAAGCAATATGAGGGCAGTATGGAAACATATCATACCACATTGTGCAGATGATTTCATTGGTTTTGAAACTCATTTTGCTGAAGTCACTAATAACATAGTGGAAATTGGACAGCAACTTCGTTTCAGTGAGTTACATTCCATCAACATAATTGAGTGCATCAAATCGAACACTAATGAACTAGATAATGAAACACTTATTAACACAGACGAGCAATGGGCTTATGAAGAACGGGAGGACAACTTAGACAACGACGACTGTGTTGAAGTGCTTGCACAAGAATTAACAGATGAACAACTATAAAAAATTATTGGAATGGTTGAAACCTTGTCAGAGCATATTATGGAAGTTGATCCCAATATTGAAGGTAGCCTTACAATTCGCCGAGCAATAAACAATGCAATTCCTTGCTACAAAGAAATGTATGAAGAGAAAAGGCCAAAGAAGAAAAATGTGCAGACATCAATATTGCAATTTTTAGAGAATAAAAAAGGAATTGCGAAAAACATGTTTTTTTTTANAGTGAGTTACATTCCATCAACATAATTGAGTGCATCAAATCGAACACTAATGAACTAGATAATGAAACACTTATTAACACAGACGAGCAATGGGCTTATGAAGAACGGGAGGACAACTTAGACAACGACGACTGTGTTGAAGTGCTTGCACAAGAATTAACAGATGAACAACTATAAAAAATTATTGGAATGGTTGAAACCTTGTCAGAGCATATTATGGAAGTTGATCCCAATATTGAAGGTAGCCTTACAATTCGCCGAGCAATAAACAATGCAATTCCTTGCTACAAAGAAATGTATGAAGAGAAAAGGCCAAAGAAGAAAAATGTGCAGACATCAATATTGCAATTTTTAGAGAATAAAAAAGGAATTGCGAAAAACATGTTTTTTTTTAATTATTTCTAATAAAGATATTTGAATTTATTAATCGCGTTTTCTTTATTGAAAAACAGGGATTTTTTTTGGAACCAATTATCATTTTTTGTATGTAATTTAGTTCCTCGATTAGTCGGGTTTCAAACAGTCTGGGATATTGGCGGAACCATTACCCGGACTAAGCGAGGTATTGCTGTACTTTTAATCTACTGAAATTAGGTACTTTTGAAAAGTGTTTTAAATGGTTAGAAATTTCGTACATGCACAGAAATTTTATTCAGTAGAACTTTTTTTTAATAATGATTTTTTTTAATAATGATGTTGACAGCCTACACAATTCTACAAGTATTATGTTTTTGGACATTATCCACCATCTTGTCTATTTTCTAAAAACTGTTCTGTTTCATTTTGAAAACACAACGTTTCAGTGATAGGGGCTAGCTCTATCTATTGGGCCCAACTGTGTACGTTTTACCTGAGGACGGGGACAGAATCGAGTCTCGAAATGTTGTCTTTTCAAAATGAAACAGGACAGTTTTTAGAAAATAGACAAGACGATTGATAATGTCCAAAAACATAATACTTGTAGCAATGTACCATCATCACAAACTTCTAGATCTTAGTCCATGATTTATTTAATCCGTCTTGCAGTGCATACACTCATTTATCTCCTTCATTATAGATTGTTACTATGGAGTGTATGCACTGCAAGACGGATTAAATAAATCATGGACTTAAANTTTTAAAAAGGAAACAGGACGGTTTTTAAAAAATAGACAAGACGATTGATAATGTCCAAAAACATAATACTTGTAGCAATGTACCATCATCACAAACTTCTAGATCTTAGTCCATGATTTATTTAATCCGTCTTGCAGTGCATACACTCATTTATCTCCTTCATTATAGATTGTTACTATGGAGTGTATGCACTGCAAGACGGATTAAATAAATCATGGACTTAAATCAGTGCAACAGGACGCTAAAATATAACTTCTAGATCTTATATACAAAACTTCTAACTAAAATTTCAGTGGGCATTATGCTAATCCACAGTAAAAAGAGAGGACAACTTGCCATCTTCAAGTGTCTGTGCTACTACTTCAGAAGACATTGGACCTGATCCTCTTCCATTGAAAGCTTGAACCACAAGCCCATATTTGCAAAACTTCTTGAGACCATCCAAACGGAACTGTCCCTTGCCATCAAGCAGCCATGGCACCTCAGAGAAATTATAACCATGCTTCCCTTCTACTTCCCTGCAACAAGAATCACAACCAATATTTTACAAGGCTACACTGCAACCAATTTTCAGAAATTAATCATCTGACACAAACTACTTCAAGGGTGGCTGGCTGATGGTGAGGACTGAATAAATTAAGAAGGTATATTATTAGCCACACAGTAAGAAACTTCACTATTCTCCTCTTCACAGATTCCAGCTAAAGAAAATGAACCAATGACTTCATTCTGTAACCAGCAAAGCACTGGTTCAAAGAAGAAATGTGCTTCATGATCAGGGCTATCACACACCTTGGGAGAGGGTGACAGTTGAGTCTGGAGCTGTATCAGAGAAATATTTCAAACATGCATTCCTACCAAAACCAGAATTTTAGTTCTTCCCTCACCCTCTGAACTTCCAATATGGCAGAAGTGGTCATTAAAATTTCTTCAAAGTTATTAAGCTGAATTCTGAGTATACTAAACTGTTTATACTACATATATTACATTGCGACAAATTGTATCAAAATACATTCTTCTTCCACAATAACTATTGGGACATAAAAGTCCTAAAAGTCCTAGTGCAAGGCAAAATAAACTGCTCCTTCCACCTTAGACTAGGATGGTTTTGCCATGGTAATCACTGAAAGTTAATGGGCATGTTTCTGAACCTAAATATGGATTACAAAATTATTATTTTGGACACTGTCTAGTGTCTTAGGCATATTAAAATTATACAACATTTTGGAAGCTGGATCTACTTCTGTCATCAGATGTGAAAAGAGGAAAAGGGTCCTGTTCAGTTGGGCCCATTAAAGAGCTATGCTTGACCACTGTGCATTGAATAGGTCCTAGACAGCATGTATATTCTGCTGCCATCAAATATCATATGTGGGAGACAGAGATGCAAGTGGGAATCAAAACAACAGAGACATCTGTTGACATGAAATACCACCAGCAGTAACAGGGAGTGCACACAACTTATAATCAGAAATTACTTTCGACCTTGTAGCAGGGGGTGCAATATGGTGCAGACATCTACACATGATTGGCTGATCACTTGTTCACCTGTCTTGAAGAAGACTATCTATCTGAGTTCCCTACTGGGCTTGTTTTCTTCTCTGTGTAAAATTACTGTCTCATTCCGTTGGTCCTATGGTACTCATCCCAGGAGTGTTTAGATATTTCTGATTTTGCGATTTCTCCAATTTTTTGTTTTATGTTTGTGTTTCCACATGACAATATTAAGAAAATACAGCAATTCGGTCCATAGTAACAATCTATAATGATGCTGATGACAAAACCAGACAACTCCCATTGCTGTTTATAACACTTTAAATTTAAAGTGGGAGATGACTGTTTCTTTTCATAATTAGTACAGCCACTTCTCAGTTTATGTTGTAGTGGTGTTCTTGAAAATGGACATGAAAATTAAAAAAAGTATATATATCAAATATAATTTTCCCACAAGAAATATAGGAAATGGTAGGAATGATGGGGAAACACTGCCTGAATACTGGTTCGAACATATATTTTATTTATTCTGCTTTATTTTAAAGTACATTTACAGTATTTTTCTTATTTGTTATTGATAATACTGAAGACACTAAAATGACTGTCTCAAACACTAATGCCTGAGGTGGCTTACTGATGACACTAGTACTGGAGATGGGGGGATTCCTGGAGAAGGGGGTTATCTGGGTCAGATGACCCAGCAGGCAGTGATGGTGGAGAAGCAAGAGGTGAAGATGCCCCCACAATTACGAACAGCTGCTGGGCTCTTGAGTTGCCTAAGGTTCAGGTGGATTAATGCTTTCCTTCACTTTTCAAACAACATAATTCTGAAGAAAGATCCATGTAAATTAAAAATGCTGTTAATATGACAACTGCAAAATTCCAGAAAAGTGTAAATAAAATCTGTGTAAAGAAGCTGAATAGAGAAGACTAGAAAATCCAATTCCATCATTCAATCTCTAGGTCTTAAGTGAAGTAGGTAATAAGATTAAATTATAACACTAACCCCAGCTCTCGATGTCCCACATAGTGACCTCGCAGTATTCCATTCCACCGATCCTCTGGTGGGGGTTCCCAAGAAACAGCCAGTTGTGTGGAACTCACAGCCTCCACTGTCACACGTCTTGGTGCCCCAGTGGGTGCTTCCTCATCTGTCTGCACACGTAGCTCCTGGCTAGCTGCACCAGGACCCAGTGTGTTTTCTGCCACAACACGCACACCATAAGTGGTGGCTGGACGCAGTTCATCTAATGTAGCTTTGCTCTCACCACCGTCAACTGTCACCTCTTGGCTTGGTCCCTGCCATGTGTCTATACACAATCAGAAATATATCAAAGTGTCAAAATTACATTTCAAAATATATACATGGTATATTGTGCAACAATTACAGTATTTATTAGCAAAATTTGTACCTCCACAAAAAATTTGCACACTTATTTTCTAGCAAATATAATTATTTACTTACTTACTCATGGAGCTGACACCTTCTTGAGGAGCCACCAATTCTGCAGCTACTCAAGAATTTCAGAGCATTTTATGGAACCCGAAGGTTCATTACCATATTCACAAGAGCCCTTTGCTGGTCCCTATCCTGGGCCAGATCAATCCAATTCATACCATGCCATCCTATTTCTCTAATATCCATTTTAATATTGTCCACCCACTTACATCTTGGTCTTCCCAGTGGTCTCTTTCCTTCTGGCTTTCCCACCAGTATCCTATATGCATTCCTCTTCTCCCACATTCATGCTACATGCCCTGCCCACCTCATCCTCCTTGATTTGATCATTCTAATTATACTTGGAGAAAAGTACAAGAGAAAAAGTAATTACATTTTAATACTTTTTGTTAAATATTTTCATCCCTAAAGGCAACGGTTATACAAATTTATCCAGAGGCTTCAATTTAATGATATATGATCTAAGTTCGTAGTCATTTAATTAGAGGAAGCGAGTGAGCTTCAGAGGCAACCACCTCTGTGGTCTAGTGGTCAGAGTTCCTGACTACAGATCCAGAGATCCTGGGTTCGATTGCCGGCGCCACCAGATTTTCTGAGAAGGAGTGAGTCTGGAACAGGATCCACTCAGCCTCGTGACAATAACTGAGGAGCTACTTGAATGGAAATAGCGGCTCCGGTCTAGANTCGGTTCGATTTTCTGAGGAGTGAGTCTGGAACAGGGTCCACTCAGCCTCATGACAATAACCGAGCAGCTACTTGAATGGAAATAGCGGACCCAGTCTAGAAAATAACGGCCGTAGGTGATCCATTGCGCTGACCACGTGACACCCTCTATCTGCAAAAGTTGGCACTAATTTCGCCGACAAGTGGCGGCCACTTGGTCAGTATAATTCACTTTTGGACTACAGGCCATGGAAGTTTTTTTTTTCTTGAGCTTCAGAAGCATGTACCTTGTATTGGGTTGTAGCGCACGAGATAACGCATGATAGGACTATTTCCATCCAACATTGGGGGAACCCAGGCCACAGTCACCCGGCGGCTTCCACAGTCTTGAATAGCTAGATCTGTTGGTGGAGCTGGTGCATCTGTAGAATAACAGAATTACATTTATTATGTAAAGATTCCTTCTTTAGTTAGCAACAAAACAACAATACCTGTGCTGGTGAGTACACAACAATGAACATCATAACAACAAAAAGGGAAGTAAGTAATGGCCTTAGACTCTTATTCAGAGGATTTTGAGTTTGATCCCTAATGAGATTTGTGTGCAGATTTTTCTGCCGACATGCTGAATTTATTTATTTTTCATCTGGTTAACAAAGTTCACACACTGAGACTCTGACCCCTTTCAAACAAAAACTGAAAAGGCTGAACATGTTCTTCTGCATAATAACTACTTTTCAATGAAAAATTTTTTCACACATTTCTCAGACAAACTGTATATGAGTATAAATCATTATTGTCAAAAATGGGTCACTCTACAAAAGAAATATGCAAACTACATTACTGACTTACATATATCCCTTTCTTTAATAAAATACAAGAGATGTTTGAGGACTATATACTGAATTTCCTGCTTGGGCAGAATGATGAACTTTTAACAACCTCTTACCAACTTGTTAAAAATGTACTAGACATACATATACATGCGCACACAGTTACACAAGTCATCACGGTATGGGGGTTTCCATTCTTTCAAAATATGTTTCTTAAATATCTATATCAAAATACATACCTTGAACCAAGAGATGCATAGCTGTCTGATCATGACCAAATTCATTCCTCGCAAAGCACGTATATATGCCCCCATCTTCGGCACGCACTGCTCCTATAGTAAGCTCAGACACCAGACCTTCTGGAACTGATGTGTTCTTAATGCTGTATAAATTAGTAACAATTTCGATTCAGTAGTACAGGCTTTCACATCCACTGTAAACTGCTGCAAAGCAATTGCAAAGAAAGGGGGGATAAAGGAAAAATTTACAAATTTGAGAAGCAGGGGAAAACAACAGGTTGTGTGAAAAGCTGATGTTCTAGTGGACTCATAAAAATGTAAACTCTGAGACACTACACAGATCCAAACAATGAGAAAATTAAAAAAAAACTACTGTCCAATTGACAGGATAAATTCAAATAGAATTTGGTTGGGAATGTAATTGCAATTGCAAGAATTAAGAACACCATTATGTTTTTTCATCTTTATGTATACATTTCCAATGCATCAAAATATGGGTAATGTTTGTCAGGGCTGGAAATGTGGCTAGAAGCTGTCTACCTTGTTCCTGAACTTTTTGAAGGAGCTATGCTTCAAGTGTCTAATTATTTCAAATAAAGAAATATGTAGAAACAAATCACCTGTAGCTATCGATACTTAGAGGCCTGAGTGATGACACATTTTCCATGAACCTGCATTGCAATTATTGCCTTTACAATATGTGTTCATCATTCTCTGACATTTCAAACTGATGATTGAGCAGTTATCTGGTTCTGAAAAGCTATTTATAACTCTTACATCAATTTTTCTGGCATGTCCATCATGCAAAGGTACAGAATTCGTTTATGAGATGAGGCATCCATAGGATGGATTTTATTACTCCTGGTCAAAGGGTGATCATGTGAATGATGATCAGCAGACAGGACCTACAGCTTGTTGCAAGCTTTGTATCATGGGGACCTAGCATTATTCACAATCCCAATTTTGTAACAACTTTCCCAGTATGATTAATCCTGTTAGGAATAAAGAAGCTGTATTTTATGTGACTAACACTGTCAGCAAGAATTTATTGATGTTCTAAATAATGTAATTTTTTTTTTCCAAATAGAACTTTGGTTGAGAATGTTACATGTTAAACTTTTAATTAAGAGATTTATTCATTTTCTGTTCAAAATATGTCGGTTTTAAATAGGGGATAAAATAAGGAGAAATTAAATCGTGACATTCCTGTATTTATAATACTGTAAATAAAATACTTTTTAACACAACACTGGACTTGATAGAAGACCAGAGTCTTTAGTAACACAACTGTTTTTAATTAGTATACCTGATTCGTCCTTGCAACTCAACAAAACTGCCTTCTTTCCTCCAGGACAGACTTATGGGCAGATCTCCAAGAGCCTGACATCGCAGTAGTGCTGAACTTCCACGGCGCACCAACTCCTTCCGTGATCGCACTTTGAAATGCACTGGAGCTGATGGAGATTAATCATATCATATCATCAGTGTAATACAATATTTACCCCCTTTTTGAGAGGTCTCTGTTAAAGTTCATTAAATTCTCACTTCTGCTTCACATTTATGTTTTATTCTGTGAGGTTAGTGGTTACAAAATTTGCCTGCCTTAGATTTTAGTTTTCTGGGTTAACACACCATGTAGTTTCATAGGTAACCAACTATTTAACAACATCCATAACATAACAACAATCATATTATAAATATGAGGCTACAGGGCAATGAACATTCAGGCAGCGGTCTCTGGGACACAACACCATGTAGTCTTTTATATAAGCATCTGCATGTAGCAAAGGTTAAAAATGTACTGGAATAATTAACATTTAAATCCTTTTAACAACTTCACCAATAGTTTGATGCCCCAATATCATAGTTTAAACAGTACAACTTCTTTCCTCCTATTTCCATTGAGAGATCCTTGTCTTTCCAGAAATTTTAGTATGGAATGATATATCTTGTTCTTTCATTTGAATATTCTTTGTTCAATTATATGTAAAAGAAAACATATGATTAGTCAAATGGAAGCAAATGTAATACATACCATAAAAGGAGCCAATGTCTGTGTTCTGCTACTTATAGATTCATTATGATTTCAAATTTGATGTCCCACTTTTTACATAAAAGATTTTGGAAATTGTGTGCTTTAATGAAATGGTGAAAAGATTAACAGGTATATTTTAATCTCTTGTATTATAAAAATTAAAACAAATTTTCCATATTGTATTCGAAGATTAGCCACTCAGAAAGCCATGCTGATAAACATGTAACATTACTTGTGTTGGCAAAACAATAAGAGCGATAGAATCCTTTACATTCTTAGATTTCTCCACTTTTCAAACAGTGATACTTTTCTTGACAACAATGACTTGAAATACAAGAATATGGAAACTATGACATATTTTAGACTTCCTGAATGCTCAATACTTGAAATATTACACCCTTTTTGAGGAGAGGATAATTTTCAAAAACTTCATATCCAAGGGACACTTCTTTTGGAATAAATTTTATACAATACATGGCATGTCTGGCTATACATACAATATGTATCTTTATGCAGGGTAAGATAGGACATATGTGACAGTACATGTGATGTAAAGCAACTGACAGAAAAGGCAGAGGAACATAGATATAAATTACTTATGGACAACTCATTTTAGTCGCCTTACTTATTCAATGATCTGGCAAAAAAAAAAAAAAAAGAGTTCAACTGCTGCTGGACAGTCAGACCTAACAGAATGGAAACCTACAGAGCTCTGCTTCCTGCCTGCTGCTTGTTGGTTTATCATTTGACTTACCCTTTGACCCTGAGGATGGTAGCAGTATATTTCCCCAAATCTTCACTGGACTTTTACCAGACTACGTAGCATTACATATGAGACAACAGTACTTTTCATAGGCTCTGTTTGTGGTCTTAGTCTTGCTGGCTGCTTACTTAATCTACTCTTTGACCCCAAAGACGGAGTGAATATGTTCATCCAAAACATCAATAACTTCAATCACGCTACATAGTGTTACATCCCATAAGATGGTACTCTTCATATCCCAGATGAATGCATGCATAGAGATTTTTGTTGCGTGCTTCCTGCAGGGAAATCCAGGGTAATACCAAGGATCCTTGGTTATGTTCTGACAGGCTCAGTGCAAGTACAATTTAAAGGCAAGAATATGGTCAGCCAGTCACTAAAAGATTAAAATACACTCATATGCAACATGGGTATGCACTGTAGTATTTTAATGGTGTGCATGTGTGGTCCAATAAGTCAAAGTTCGTACTGTTTCAGTAGAAATATTATTACTCCAGAGTCGAAATCCAGCTGCCAGTCCTGTAGTTCCTGCAGATTATAAATACCATATTCCTAGGAAAAAAAAAAGAACTCTGCGACCTGTAGTCCGCAAGCGAACTATACCAACTGAGCGACCGCCGCTTGTCAGTAAAGTTAGTGCCAACTTTTGAGGATACAGGGTGTCACGTGGTCAGCGCAACAGATCCCCACGATCGTTAATCTCGGTTTTCTAGACCATAGCAACTATTTACTTGAAATAGCTCCTCAAACAAATATTAATACAGTTATTCAACAGTTGCTGCATACCCTGGACTGTGAGTTGCACCACAGCACTTAGTCCGACACCAATCCCGTTGCTGGCCTCACACATGTAATGGCCCTCATCTTCCTGCGCTACTGCCTCAATTAGCAACGAACCATTGGGCAATAAACGTGCGAGTTGATGTCCTAGCACATCCTGGTACTGACCTGGCTTTTCACCTGAAATATATTTATACAACTAAATTTAATTTTGTTTTAGTGCAATGGTGGCATCCCATAATATTTAGTTACAATATCAGTTGTACAAGTCATTTAGTACTGGATGTGAAACAGCAGCATGAATGAAATTCATATTGGTGTAACTGTGATAACATGTACTTATGGGCATATTTTGTATCTGTACATCATTGTTGTGACTCGAAAATTGTTCATTTGTTGTATGTATGTATGTATGTATGTATGTTGACAAAGTTGTGAGTTACAGCTGCTTTTATCATAATATTTTATCTATTTGTTATATTTTACTTTTCATTTTATATCTTATTTTAGTATATATATAAATGGACTGCTTCTATATCTGTGGTGACTGTCTTGCCTGTATGGATTGCTTGAGGTAATAATAAATCAAATCAAATCAAATCATTGTATGGAGAATTAAGAGAAATCACAAGTGTCATGGATTGTCTCAAGGTATTGTCCCAGTATGTACCTGAAAGGTACTGGAAGGAAACCACAAAGAAATCCAGTGCGCATAGCCCAAAATATTTCACAAAGGTATCCACACACTAAAAGGAAGCTAATACATAATTTTATTTGGTATTCACACAAAAATTAGCAGCAGCAGCATGAAGCATGTATTTTCTCACCAGAAGCTTTTTTCCATGCAACAGTTGGTTGAGGAAATCCTTCGACTTTGCAGTCCAGTAAAGCTTGGTGTCCAAGTTTTGCAGCTCTGCTCTGTGGTTCAATCAGCCATGTTGGAGGAACTGCAACCCACCAATACATATCATTCCCAATCTACTTCTGGACAAAATGCCATCTGAATATCAACTACAGCATCGGATTTATTTCCTGGCATTATTACTTTAAAGCTTGTTTATGAACTGACTAACATTTCTTGAAGATATTATTTGATTTCACACAGCAGCTGAAATTTCATGGTTGAACAGGGTATTGTTCCCAGATTATTAAAACATAATTATGTGATTTTCATATTGAATGGAATGAAACTTTCATTAATTATTAATGTGGGGATTCTGCGATTATATTAAACAATTAGATTTGAGAATGTTTCTGGAAGTCACTATGGACAATAATTTAAAGTACTAATTCCACTTTATTAAATTATTGAAGTGGATGGTATTTAATGTTTTTTGTTTATTACTTAAGGGAATGAGAAATGTCTGAGAGTGAAATGGTGAGGAGATAATATGAGTGCATAAAATATCTTAATTCTATAACCAAGTTAAAATTATTACTTTAACGTGGATGAAAATACATCTATGATGTATTGTTATTACAGTCAGTAGCTGTGCTATTTTGAAAGTCATGTGTCTAGAAGATATAACATCAAGGGTCTATGTTGAAATAGCTTTTTTGTTCACTCTTTTATATATGACAAAATTTTCATGTAACAGGAATATTGTAACTGATAAAAAGTGACTGATGTCATTAAAGGAGTTACAGAAGTGACAGAAATGTTATCACTGTGGTCATGATATTATGAGTGACCATTAGAAGGTTTACTAACGTTCAAATGTGATAATTTATTCTTTAAACTATTCAATATAACAGCTATAGCCGAATGTTTTCTTACTACTGACAAAATATTCAAAATTTTCTTTGGCAGACTGCCAACTTAAGTTAAGAAGGAATTCTTTTGCATGGATCTGTGAGCGGAGAGACTGGAGTGCAATGACAGATGGAGATATCTTTGTGCAGAAAGGAGTGTCAGTGTGGATTTCACATACTGATGGACTGATTCATGCTGTAACCTAACTCATTATTGCATCATGCTTGGCACCATCAGTGCATTGTGATAACAGCAATACGGATCTGTCCTGTGTGACTAACAGCACTGCATATTGTCACATCATATTCATATATGTTGTTATTTGCTGGCTCATCCAGATGTAATCAAGCAGAGAAGTGCATGGGGCAGGCAATACTTGTTTTCTTATTGAATGGCTGGCTTACTTATGTCGTGCGTGGCTGCAGCTAAGCTGAATACATGGATGGACAGACATGTCAAGGATGAGGTATACAATATTAGTTGTACATCACAGCCAAAACAAGTCATTCCTACAGCCTAAAGCAAGCAGCACACACAATGTAAAGCCCTTTAGCATTGTATTTTCTTATAGTTGGTGAATACCCCTATGGTTTCTACTGACATAAACCTGTTTCAGCTATAGTGACAGTGGCAGAATAAGCCATGCAAGGCTGAAACCGAGTTGGGGCAGTCAATACAAACATTTCACACAGTTCTGTGGCTTCATTCTCAAATGTGCTGATACTCCTCTAAAATTCCATCAGTCTATTTATAGTACTGTATTACATATGAAACTGAAAGCAGGATATGATGTCATCGACTGTGTGTTCCGTTTAAATGAGAAGCATAAAATTTTTAGCATAACAATAAGACTGATACGAAGTGATAGCTATAATGCTTAGGCCTGTAAATAAATTTAATATTTTTTGCATCACAAGAAAGCAAATCATAAATAAAAATTATCTGCATGTATACAAAACGTTAGTTACAACATATTTACAACAGACACACATAAAAAGTGATGCAGTTAGCTAAATTTTTCACATGAATAAAGCATAATATTGTGAAAGATTTTCAACGAACAGAATTATAAATTTTATATTATAAAATTGTAGTATTGTTTATATGTGTCTGTTCAATCACACTCTACATTTTGGAAATGGGCTAGATTCCCTTGTCTAATACATTTGATGCCATACTGGAACAACAAGTTTCTGAAAATGACGGTGCAGATGCAATCAACAGTTGTACATGGTGTAAACAGCTTGCTGAAAAAATAGGTCACAATTCATGACTCTGTGCAAGAAAATGACGAATACAGTTGTTGCTGGCCTTGTAATGTGAGGTTTTTTACAACTGAAAATGTTGTTGGCTGCAAGATGAAATAATACAAATGAACAAGAGACAAACAACATACTCACATCAAGCAATCCAAAAATAATGAAGAATAATTATACTAAAAAAATACTGCGTGCCATTAAGCATTAGGTTACCTGCATTGCTTGAAGAAGTAGAAGGCTTTTGTCAACCGCAAGTCATCCAAGGCGGTGATAGTCAAGTAATGAACAGCTATCTCATTCCTGGACTGCGAAGCAACATGAGACAGGTCAGAAGTTCATATGAGGCATGCAAGCAAGAAGTGGTAAGACATCATCTGGAGAAGGCTAGGTATAGGCAGGAGAAGGGTTCAAAAGGGCACAGGGAGTCAAGGCAGGAGTTCAACAACCTTGTGGGACTGCCAAAATATGGACAGGTCAAAGTTATATTATATAGTACACATTTTACAAAAACAATATCATTTTTATATGGGATTCTATCTAGATTATGTTAACATTCTCAGAACTCTGAATTTATTTCTTACAATGAGATATTTAGACCAAACAGTCCCATCAGTGTAGTTGACATGCCATGATATCCCACAGCCCTTGCAATAGTAGTTACCAGTGACCAGCAGCTGAGCCGTATACATGACTGTCTGAGCCGGATTGCGGGCCACACAGGTGTAGTTGCCGCTATGTCTAGAGCTAACGCTACGTATCCCCAGGACACTAGAGAATTCTTCATTATCTTGGATCGTGAGGTCAAGGTCATCATGCAGGCCTAGGTTTTGGAGAGGGCGGGCATCCTTGAGCCACGCGATGGTAATTGGTGGGTCTCCACGCTTGACACTGCATGTCACTCTGGCCCGTTCGCCTGCTGACAACTCGCCGAATGAGAATGGAGTAATTGCTGGAGGCACTGAAACACACCCATATGCACACACTCAAGCCACAACACAGCTCTACCTTACTTCCCCTGGCTTGGTGAGGAAACGGACAAGCTCAAGAGATGGCAAATGTCTTTCATTTTTTCATATGCATATACATGATTTAGCTCACTTCCTTCCAACTGTATCTGAAGACACTTCAGTTATCACGTGATTCATTTGAGGAAAGCATATTACAAATCTCTAAAACACGCATTCTGCTGGCGGAAACAAAATTCAATTCAGATGAGTTTCGTTCTGCAAACTTCTTACTGTTTCCACCCCAAATTACATGAACAATGTGTCTAATTTTCAGCATGCACTTATGTACTGGGGTGGAAAGAGCAAGATTATGGTGCCTTATACATTTGACATGACAATTATAAATGTTTTGATGAAGTAAACTTTAAGATACAATTGATTCAATTTGAGGACAGACAATGTTTCCTTAAATAATGAATTGGGAAGACTATGAAAGTGGTCATGACCTATTTTAAGGATCTGTCTCAACATATTCCTGAGAAGACAGAGGAAGACAATGAGAACTTCTAGCAATATAGTTGGACTCTTCGTTGAAATTCTATTTTTATAGTGATTATACCAGAAATGTATTCATATCAAATCAGTTCTCTTTGTGTGGATGAAATAAGTACTTTGACTTGTATCACTAGATGGCTATGAATGATTTTATATAATATACTGCGGTTACATTAGATCACAACCATCTTAAACTTATTCCTTCAGTAATGAACAACAAAATATAGAACACTTAACTCTGATACAATGGCAGAACAGGGAATTTAATTTATTCATATGAATAATAAGTAATTTAGTTCATTGAAAATATGTCATAACACAGACATATTTAATTTGAAAATTCAAATTTAATATTTGCATACTTGGAAGGAAAATGGCTGCATCAAGGAAACATACTCATGGAGTAGCATTCTCTGTGCTGTCCGTTATTCTCCTCCAAGCTCCAGGCTAATGCAACAAGAACACGTGCCACCGTACCATTAACGGAGAGTGGGGCAGAGTAAGCTGCCTGGGCTGCTGCATTACGGGCAACACAAGTGTAGTTCCCCCCATGTTCACGTGCAAGTGCCCCAATGCTGAGAACACTTGTGAACTCATCCAGTGTACGTAACACGAGCCCATCTCCCTGTGTCAACTCTTGTCCGTCCTTTAGCCAGTGGATGCTGAGTGGGGCATCACCTTTGCTAACCACACATTGAACACCCACACGTTCACCAAGATGCAAATCCAAACGGAAGCTGAAAGGAGTTATCTTAGGAGGGACTGCAACAAAAATACACTTCATGATATGAACAGATGTACAAGAACACGTGAAACACCGTTTTAGCTATGAGACACATGGTGTGTTAGTAGCTTTTACCTTCCACCATACTATCTATATTCAGTGTTTTCTGGTGAAGATCAACTGGCTTAAATGGTAATTTAAAACCTGAAGTACGACTTACTTACTTACTCATGGAGATGAGCCCTTCTTGAAGAGACGCCAATTCTGCAGTTACTCAAGAATTTCCCAGTATTTTATGGAACCCGCAGGTTCATCACCGTGTTCACAAGAGCCCTCCAGTGGTCCCTATCCTGAGCCAGATCTATCTAATCCATAACATCCCATCCTATCTTTCTAAGATCCATTTTAATATTGTCCACTCACCTACGCCTTGGTCTTCCCTGTGATCTTTTTCCTTCTGGCTTTCCCACCAATATCCTATACGCATTCCTCGTCTCCCCCATTCGTGCTACATGACCTGCCCACCTCATCCTCCTTGACTTGATCATTCTAATTATACTTGGAGAAGAGTACAAGTTATGAAGCTCCTCATTATGCAGTTTTCTCCAACCTCCTGTCACTTCATCTCTCTTTGGTCCAAATATTCTCCTCAACACCCTGTTCTCAAATACCCTCAGTCTATGTTCCTCCCTTAATGTCAGAGACCAAGTTTCACACCCATACAGAACCACAGGCAAAATTATAGTTTTGTATATTCTAATTTTTATGTTTTTGGACAACAGATGGGAGACAAAAGGTTCTGGACTGAATGGTAGCAAGCATTACCCGAGTTCAATCGCCTCTTAATTTCCTCCTCAATCAGGTTTCAATCTGTTATCGTTGTTCCCAAATATCTAAACTGTGCCACATTTTCAAAACATCTGTTTCCTGTCTTTATGTCATGATTTTGGCCTGCATTTTGGTGATGAGACAGCAACATATACTTAGTTTTCTCTGTGTTTACTTCTAGACCAACCTCTTTACTTGCGTCAATTAAAGTTTGTGCGTCTTCTTTATGGTATCTACATTATCACCCAGTAGATTCACACCATCAGCGTAGACCAATAGCTGATGTGTCCTGTTTAGTTTCAGTCCCATCTGGTTTCCCTGGACCTTCCTAATTGCATATTCTAAAGTAAAGTTGAAAAGGAGTGGTGATAAAGCATCTCCTTGTTTTAGACCATTCTGGATAGGAAATTTATCAGGCAAATGTTTACCTACACGGACTTTACTATACGTTTCGTTTAAACACATTTTAATCAACCTAATCAACCTAGTTTCATGGGTATCCCAAACTCAGAATACTGTACAATACTTCCCTCCTAACTGAATCATAGGCTTTCTTGAAGTCTATGAACAGCTGATGTACTGTCTCGTTCTTCCTTCCCTCTTAACAGTGGCAAATCGTTAGACTGAGCATATATATTTTGCAGAGCTGCATAATGGTTTGCCTGCACCATGTGACTTTACTGATTTTTCTGTTGTCCAAGCAGCTCACATGTTAGGCGAGGTATGATCTTCTTGCGTCTTGGTATAAGAACTGTAATTCAGCACAAGTAATGGTTTCTCTTTTGTCTGAGAAGGGTTCAAAAAATGACCACTGCAAAGTAATGAATATGTTTTGTAGGTGGAATATTAAATAGAAATGCACCAAGGTTAAATTCTTCAGTCTCACAGTGGCCCAAATTTTATTGTGGATTAAGACTAATTTCACAGAAAGAGGATGAAATATGGATAAAACAGAAATCAGAAATCATTTACACTGAGTGATAAAGTAAATATTTTGACACAAGCTGATGCACATATGGGCACAAGTATTCAACTAGTATCACTAATATCAGACTAGTGTCTGCACTAAACACTGCTGTGAAGAAGAATCTAAGTGGTTCTAATGATGGTGTATAACACAGAATTACTGGGTTTTTTGGACTTTTCCCATCATTGGTATTCTAGAAAATAGAAAACATGACGTTTTGGAACTGGATCTGTTTCCATCCTCAGCTGAGGGGGGAGACACCTACTCAGTTGGGCCCCTTAGAAAGAGCTGATTTCAATCACTGATGAAAAAGGTCCAAAAAAAAAAAAAAAACAATAATTCTGTACTATTGTGAACAACCATGAAGAAATTGAAAGTAGGTTCGTCCAGTGTGAACCTTCCTCCTAGCAGCGGAAACTGCTGAAATGTGCACTGGAATATGCACATGCTGCACGATTTAAGCAAGCGCAGGAAAGTAAAGCTTCCATAGATGGCACCCACTTCAAGGAGAAGGCTTTGCACATTACTGCTCATCTGGGGGTAGCCAACTTTTTGGATTCCAGTGGATGGACTGACAGATTTAAGAGGACAAACAACACTGATTACAGTATTGCATCAGATGAGAGCAGGAGTGTTGATCCAGCAGAAGAGATTTGAGATATTTTGTCCATCAACAAATACGAAATGAAAATTATGCAAGAAAAAATAAGTTATACAATCACTGAATAAATGAATAGAAAATTATTTTGTATAACATACCCATAACAGTTATCTGAGCTGTTCCACGGGCTGTGTTGCCATGCTTGTTTGTTGCCTCACACCTATAGGAGCCACCATCAACACCTGACTGAACCTTCTCAATGACCAACGTACCATTTGAAAACACAAGATGTCTCCTATTGATTGGCAGCAACCTATCACCTGCAACACAAGCAAGCAAGTGTACTGCTTTCACCTAGTCATTCTAATTCCTTTTGTGCATTACAACATTTTCAATATAGTAAAAAGCGAAGTCATCCCCATGCATGATTAAGTGCAACATTCTAAAATATATGGGGGAGTGGAGATAACAGCTGGATGTATTTTAGATGGAGGTGAGTGGGCAACTTCTCACCCAAACTGCTTTACCTCTGGGGAAAAGCTTCCAGTATCCAATGTATAGGAGGTTGGGAGTGCCGCCCCTCCAGCTGATCTAGATTCTGTGGAAAGGAGAAATATGTCTGCTCCTGCTGGGAATCAAACTATATATTTCAACTAGTATTTTTAATACAGTTACTAAAGTAATTCTGACATCCAAGTGTTATTTAATATTTTACATTACTAGACTTAAATTAGTCTGAAGACAATGGTTATGACCATGATTCATGGATTAGAATTCTGCACAGGGCATGCAAGTTTGTGTTTCTCATCACTGCCCATCTCTCTATTCATTGCTATGTTAACATCAATTTGGAGTTGCTGCTGTAGACTGGCCCTACAACATGTGGGAAGAAAAAATGTGCATGCACAAAACCAAAATTTTGTGGGGTTCTAATATTCTTCTGTTATTCTCTTGATGCAAAAATGGTTTTTGAGAACTCTATGAACATTCTCTGGTACATAAAAACTGTCCAGTATGAGTAAACATGTGTCTTGAAATGTCTACTATGAAGAGTGCCAATTTGTTCTCATGTCAGAAGTTCACAAGGCAGTCACGCTCATATTGCTGAGGACAGGGAGTTAAAAATTATGAAGACAGACTGTCTTCTAATGACAAGCTATTCAAGCAAAAGTTTGTGAAAATTGTGCAATAATTCATAAATTAATGCTAGTGAATAAATGGGCAGAAGGACAGATGCATTCGACTAATGAGGTTCCGAGGAAGGAATCACGAGGAACCCTGTATTAAAAGAAGTAATCCTGATGCATCAATGGCTACGTTATCTTACAGGAGAACAAGAATAAAATGTTACAGCTTTATGCTTGTAATTAGCCACCCTACATTGCACTTGGAAGAAAGAAATTTCAAGACAAACCCTGGTGCAGTTGTTGCTCCCACAGCAAACCTGGATTCTGACCACAGAGGTCTGGGTCGAACGCCATAGTAGTAGATGTGTGATCTGTAGTGGAGAAAATGGCACTTGGGCTACTTTTATTGGAGCTCTTCAGCTTTCTCCTGCCGATTATTCCACCAGTGCTCCATATTCATCTCTTATCTGCGGCTGGTAAGCAAAGTTTACTTGAGGCAGCATTACTAAGGAATTTAGTTTCATCCCTCTCCTAAGAAGAAAACTATTTACCAACCTCGATACCATTTGATGTTATCAATGGGATATCCAGCAACTGGGCATGTGACTCGTAAGGTTTCTCCAGCCACAGCAGATATTTCGCCCATGACGCGGATGTAAGGCGTCCCTGCAGCAGAGGTTATAAATTAAAGCAAAGCAGTGGCTTACTGTGATACTACGCAAATTGGCACAATGTATAATTGTTCTTATTCAATAATTACCATTACTATTCATTTCATATACATCTACATTTTGTTTCTTACAGTGTTCTTCTGTTTATGGATGTATTTGTTAAAATGCAACAAATTCTAATAATTTCCTTATAAGATAACTATTAAATGAACCAGTAATATAAGCTGCTTAATAAAACCCAACCAAACCAATGGACAGAGAAAAGATATGGCTTGAAATTTACCAACTTCAAGGGTCCTGAAGATGGAGGGACCAGGTTACTCTCAGTATTGGTTTCTTTCTACCTGAGAGTGTGGCATCACATCTCACGAGAGGGTAATGTTCATATTCACTGCCTTGGAAACTTCAAACCTCAAGGCGTAATTTGCACACTGACTGGAAACTGATGGAATGACTTGGAAAGTTCCTCTTCCTAAGCCATTTAAATAAAAAAAAACATAAATCTTAGGCCTTTTCTTGTAAATGTGCTTAAAATATTTCTACTGAAATTTTCGTCCTGGTTCATGCCCTCAGAAAATTTACGTTACACAGGTGTTCATATTAGTATCTGAACAACTAGCAGGTAAAGAAAGTCGTCTTCTGGGATCTGGCGCCGTGTATCCCAGAAGACGACTTTCTTCATAGTCATCGCCGTGAAAACCTCAAAACTTACAACTAGCAGGTAACGTTTGCAAAATATACAGAATATATAGAAATATATATAGAAATTCATATAGAAATATTTTCTGTCCTAAAACATGTAAGTATTAAGAGAATTTGTTTGGATATGTCAAAAAAACTAGTTACAGCAAGTGGCTAAATACAGAAGATCAAGACCTGTGGAACAGAACTGTTATAAGATTACGCAAATTTACCAACACTCCATTCCTGATATGTGCAGCAATTTTCAAGATATATTTAAAGAAATCACAGGCGTGGAAATTTCACTTATCGCCCCTTTGGCAAACAGAACATGATCAAGTCAACAGAATCCGTATTAGTAGGTAAAAAGCAGAATAACAATTTTTTTTATTACTAGTGGGGTGGGACTAAGTCCCTTGCACTGTGGCCACTTCTGGCCTATTGTACCAGCTCCAGATGATAGGTGAGGGTGATTGTGGAGCAATTGGTGGAATGAAGATTGGCAGGGGAAACCAAAGTACTCGGAGAAAACCTGCCCCAGCACCACTTTATCCACCACAAATCCCACTTGACCAGACCCAGGATCGAACCCGGGCTGCTGCGGTGGAAAGCAAGCGACTAACCGCTTGAGCTATGGCGCGGCCTAGAATAAAAAATTACTTTCTTCTGTCTCAAACTTTCTGCAGTTTTCGAAATTGGCTTCTGATTTTTTGAATTATTATCTAGATGTAGTTCAGTTTGTAATACCGAAAAGAAAATAAAGAGTTCTACTATAAAGACATCCATTCCACCAGTCTCTTCTTTTATTTAACAATCATGTATATACATACCAAAAATTCAACTTAAGTATTATGAACTATACCATAAACATTAAGTCGTGCTCGATGTGAAACCTCGCCAACTCTGTTGGATGCCAGACACTGGTATGTACCACCATCTTCCACTCGTACACTTGTAATATTAACATGACTTATGACATCGCCACCATGCATCAGTTCATACTGTCCAACATAAAACCTGAAAGAATATGGCGTTCATGATGTAATAAATGCTTTAGGTATAAAATTTATATAAATATCAATTAACCAATATTGTACCAGATTTAAATCCTCTGCATAGGAACCCATGGCCCAAATCAAATGATGGTATTTAACTAAGACTGCATGCCCTATTCCAAAAATCTCGAATTTCTCAAAAATCATCCCTTATACAAATATAGAATAAATAATAAGTATCCAAAGCAAATATATTCATAAATGATAACACTGCAAAAATTTCATTTCTATAAACTGTTACATGCCAGGTTCCTGTGTATGAACCTGTTACAAGAAACAAAAATATAAACAGCAGGTGTCTGTATTACTCATCTGTATGTGGTGTGAACCTATGGTTGTTCCCCACCAAAGTGCTGCCCTCGCAGATTCTCCTTAGTGTGATTTTCCCTAAAGCATGCAACTGCACACAGGCCCACAACTCATTTTTCTCCTGGCTAAGATGTATGCTTACTTTTTGTGATGAAACAGGTACAGCAGTGCAGTTGCTTTCCTTTGGTTGGCCACTGGCTTCCAGGAAGTTATATTTATCATAGGATCACTGTGTATCAAATAGATGTTTTCTGTTCTGTGGCTAAGTTTCAAAACACACTTTCTGTTGCAGTCCGCAGTAATTTAAGTTTTCATAGAATTTCAATGCTCATAGCAGAAATTTCAATTTTGCAGTGGAGGTTTACACACATTTGTCATTTATACAGAAATCTTGTGAGTAGCTCAGAATATAAGCTTTGAATGATAGGATGACAAGTGAATAAATATTGGAAATAAGGTGGAACAAAATTGTCAGGGCCGAATTTTAGGTAACATAACCTTATTTCACTGGAGGGAAAGAGGAAACTGACAATCTCGGTCAAGGCAGTTGGTGCCCTGTCCAGATTTGACCTAACCACCTCTGGAATACAAGTCAGAAACATTTTAGCTTGAGCCAAATTGCTTTGTAGGTAGCAAAACTAATTTCCTTCTTTTGCTGGATGTTTCAGGGATTTACAATTAGATTTACTATAAGCAACTTAAGTATTTTAAGTTTGTGACGATGGTACATTAGTACAAATATTATGTTTCTGGTCATTATCCATCTTCTTGTGTCACGGGTTCAAGTCCTGATGAGGTCATTGGATTTTATTCAGTTGACCTAATCCTTCCAGCTGCACTAGGCCCTGGGGTTTACTCAGCCTCTAACAGAAATGAGTACCAGGAATTAAATAAATAATTTTCCTGGGGAATAAAGCGCGGCCGGCGCGTAAGGCTGACAACCTTACTGCCATCTTTGAGCCGATTGTCTAGATAATGTGGGACCCTCAACATCTCACAACCCTATGGGCCTTCATGGCCTGGTACGTGGATAGCTTTACTTTACTTTATCCATCTTCCTGTATTTATCTAAAAATACCGTTTGGAAAAATATGTTTGCCCCTTCATGTTAAATGTGAGTGCTCTATATTTCATTGTCTTACTGAGTTGTATGTTAAAATTTTCTTTGAATTAATCACCTAATGGCAGAATGTGATGTTTAAACTGTGATCTATAGTTTAAATTTCTATTGTTTGAATTAAGAATATTCAGTTTTTCGTTAATTCTGTATATCTCATTTGATCCTTGTTTAACCTGCTACACTTTAAAAGAACTTCAGCTCTACAGTTTAAATTTTTTACAATGTGAAAGTCTTAAGAACAATTTCATAAATCCATTGAATGCTATGCCATACCTGTTATCACCCCTTGGGAGAGGGAATCCATCCAGTGTCCATTTTATGTTTGGTGTTGGGTTGCCCGATGCTACGCATTTCAGGGAAACTTCAGGTCCTGGCTGGATTGTCTGTTCAATGAAACGATACACAAGCTGTGGCGGGGTGTCTGAAAAGCATTACACAAATATAGCAATCAGGACTGGGGTACACAGCCTGATCTGTGGCAGGAGTTGCAGAACTGATGGGCATCAATCGGCTATATGCCTCTTAGAAGAGCAGCTTCAGCTTATAGTCTGTGACAGTAACAATATCAAGGAGAAATACATATACCAGCACATTTACACAGCCTCAATACTGGCCATTACAAAAACAAGCTCTAAGAACTGTATTAGTGTAAATAATCTTAGCCATAACCTGAATGACAACAATTATGGAATTTATATCAAATATGCTAATTAAAAACAAATTAATTGGGGTTATACAAAGGAAAGGCATCATAGAGGGAAATCATACACTTATTTAGAACATTAAAAAACTTACAACAGCTTTAAGCGGCCTCCGCAGTCTAGGGGTAACGTTCCCACCTCATGACTCAAGGTACGCGGGTACGTGGAATTTTTAAGGGCGGAAAAATTCAGGGAACAAGTCCTCCGGGAGGGACTTTAAGCCGTGTGTCCCGTGTCGTAGCTTTATGGTCATGGTCATGGCAACTAGTTAGAATAATTAAAAAGGGGGATGCACAATAGATCAATAAATGGTCGCAGTGCATGGGGTAACCCACCCCCTCTGAATAATAATAATAATAATAATAATAATAATAATAATAATAAAAGTACAAGAGCTTTAGTAGCATTGTCAGTTTGCCTGAAGGGTAGATCTTACATTACCGCATGCATTAAAAAGGCGAAGTCCCTAATCAATTTAGTTTGTAGATTAATTGTATACATGAAAGAGAAAAAAATTGTTTCACCCTTGAAAACATAAAAGGATGCATCAAGATGCCATTATCTGGGATAAAATACCCTTAATACTAGACATTCTAAAATCAGGTTACAATTTAAAGAAAAGTCAGACTGATAAAATGGACAACATAAATCTGCAAATTTCTTTTGTATATTTTCAAATTTGAATTGAATCTGCGAAGGCAAGGTTAGTCCTGGAGGCTGAGGCACCTACTCAAGATATGACGGAAGTGTAGGAACATTCACACCTCACAGTTTTCAGTGCAACACTAAATGCTTGTTATGAGGAGATGTTGTGCATGACATGGTAAATAATTAACTTGAGGAAGAAGAAACAGTTTACTGTTGAGTAATGTTAAGTATAAAATCGTGATATTTCACACAGTTTGTATGCAAAATTAGAACACCACAAATGTGACAATGACATTATCTTTTTGTGCAGTGAAGTGAGACTGAGTCCGTTAATACTCAGCTTGCAACAAGATCCATTGTATTGACCTTATGTGATTGATGAGAGAATTTACAGGTGAAAACCGAAGTGCTTGTGGAGAATCCTGTCATAAGGCCACTTTATCCTCCACAAATTCTGTATGGACTTGCGTGCAATTCAACACAGACATCCATGGCGAGAAGCCGAGGATTGACTGCCAGAGTAGCTGGAGCTATGGCACGGATACAATTGGCCTTGCAAGGAATGAAGTAATATTATTCTTTCTGCATTATGTGGTATATGTAATTTTCAAAATGCCACCTTATACAGTGTAGATAAGGTTTATAAACATTTACAACTGCTGACTATATTACATGACACATTTTCAGAATATCAGCAAATAATAAGGAACATGAGAAATTTTTATACATATTTATTGTTACTAAAAGTAGTGGGTTGGGAAGGGGGCACGCGGTAGCGTAGTTGGTTGTGGCACTATGCTACAACCCGGTAGGTCGCGGGTTCAAGTCCCGATGAGGTCATTGGATTTTTTCAATTGCCCTAATCCTTCCTGCTGCACTATGGCCCTGGGATCGATTCAGCCTCTAAAAGAAATGAGAAACTGGAATATTCTTGGAACATTCTGGGGAGTAAAGGACGGCCGGTGCGTAAGGCTGACAACCTTACCGCCATCTATGAGCCGATTGTCTAGAAAATGTGGGAGCCTCAATGTCTCACAACCTTATGGGTCTCCACGGCCTGTTACAGGGATAACATTACTTTTTTCTTTACGTTTAGTGGGTCTGAAACGGGGTCCACTCAGCCTCTTGAGGATAAATGAGGAGCTATTTCAAGGAAATAGCGGCTCCGGTCTAGAAAAACCGAGATTAACGGCAAGAATAAATGTACACACATATACATATGTTAACATATACATTTGACCGGGTAAACTGGACCAAATTAATGCAGATCCTGAAAGAAACAGGTATCGATTGGCATGAAAGAAGATTGATTAGCAAATTGTACATGGATCAGAAAGTTAGAGTACGACTGGACACGGGGGAGACAGGAAGTGT